TTTTTCTTTCCAGATTTGGAATCAGCATTAAATTTCAATTCGGAAAATCGAAGTTTTAAGAAAAGCTTAAATCAATTTCCAAAAGTGAGGTTAAGGCCTTCATCTGCTTATTTCCCATATATTTTCTATAAAGAAGCCTGACAAAGCAACATTCTATTTAATGCAACAAAACAGAAAATTGGTTCGGCAAAACTCATACGAAAGTCTAGTTTTTGGCGCTTTTTGCCATTATTGCTCATTATTGAAAACTTTTCCTCTTGTAAAACTATCTTTATTTTATTTACTGAATTAGCCGCTATTCACCACACTTTAGTTCGTAGTTTGACCTAGTTTTAGTTTTAGTTTTTTTATTCTAGTTTTTTAGTCGTACAAAATCGCTCGACTATTGCCGTGTAGAGCGTTGATCGAAATAGCTGTCGCTTGTATGATAAGTTTTACATTAAATGCCAGTGACTTTCAGTTATCTTTAATGATTTATCAAGGTTTTTCGACGATTTTCATCCAGAAATATATTTTTATAACGAAGAATTGAATGTTTTAAAAGATCATAAGTACTTACCCTCAGTGAACCATTTCATTTTCGGTCCGTACCGTAAGTTATGGACCGCAAATTGACCAATCATAGCACTTGAAATTACCTTGCCATATAATAAAGAACATTAAAACCGCTTTTAAAATAAGTTTGTACAGTCTAGTCATCTCTAGTACAATAAACGGTACGATCGCTGCCTATCTGTATCATCTTTTAGCCCACAAGGGAATTAGTTATTTTATGTGATGTGTTAATTTTAAAAGAAAATTCTTTTTCTCTTTACAATTTATTGGAAAAGGTATTTGTCCACTTTTAGAATCGAGTTACGTAAATAGCAAGCTCGAAAATAAGGTTCAATCTGTTGGGTTCGAATTACGTTACTCGAATTACGCGCAGATGCCAAAGTTGGCGTGGCCTTTAAAATATGGGTGTTTCCGAGCGCGTAACTCGAAAAGTGTGTAACTCGAAGTGCGTAACTCGAAAATTGTAACTCGAAGAATACCTTATCTCGTTTTCGATTAGCAAAGCATTTTCCACACCCGAGTGGTTCCCGAGTGGTGAAATCGTATGGTTTCCGGTCCTTGGTCGAGAGGTGGGCGAGAAGCCGTCGTCACGGATTTCCAGGCGTTCTTTGGAGTACCTGCTAGTTTGTAGCTACAGCTAGATCCAATTGAATCACACATATTTATTGGTAAACTATTCCTTCGTGCTTATTGGATTTGTATTTACTGAGAAAAACGGTTCGAAGTGGACACCAACTTGTAATTATTTCTAAGTGTTGGAATTTTTTTCTTAAATTCCCTTCAAAACTCGCTGAATTTGCCGATACAGAAGTTTAAAATAAACAAAATGACCTGACGACAGGTAAAGTCGACAAACATTTATTCAGGTTTTTTCAATCAGAAAATACGACATATTCTAAATCCCCATACATTCTCTTGTTGATGTAGTGAGCTTGGGTTGCCTGTGATCTCATCTGACCATTTTCCCCAACAACCTCGTCCCCAAGGCCGTCGGTGAGAAGACCCTGGTGTTGGCTGCATCACGTGATCAGAAACCAAGATTTCTGGAGATTTTTATCATGTGATTTTTATAATCGAAAATAACTGGGATCCCTGTGTTCATCATAAGAAAGACCGCTGGCCACTTAGATGACTGGCTCAAAGTCTTTCTCGACAGAAAATCCTCCTAAGATAAAAACATCTTTATTTATCCATTGATGTCTCCTTAAAAAATGCAGCAAAACGGTGGAAAACAAGTCGAGGAGGAATTACTACCTATAGATATTTATTACAACAAGTTACTAGGTGAGCCTCGGATGTTTCATTCTTATTTTTCTCGTTCCAATACTCGAAGGCCACGTACGTAGATCAGCCAGAAAAACTGCGAAAAAACAGCTTTACTATTACTCTTTTTATTCATATTCTCTTTAAAGGGTTAAATAATTTACGTTTGGGAGCGTAGTTAATAGAACTATGTTTGGAGTTATCTATATAAAATAATAGATACATGTACATGATTTAACACAGTACGATCTCTAGACATAATTTTAATTTTGATAAAGAGAACCATAAGAGAGACCAGAACACTTAATTGCTTGTTCATTTTATATCGTTTCATTAAGTAAAACTGATTCAGTTTGACGTTGTTATTAAAGCTCCTTCCTTCCTACTTTAATATTTCTCTAAATACCTTTCTTCTCTCTTGTTAACATCCTTTCCTAGTTTCCTTTCTCTCCATGCACTCCCATTCATCTCTTCATTTCCATTTCTTCACTAATCTCCCATCTCTTCTCTCACGTCACCACCCTATGCTAGTATTCATACCCAATTTTTCACCCAAAATATAAATGATAACTTCCTATGTAATATTTACAGCCCATTTCATGTTTCTGATACCAAACCAAATAGCCAACAACAAGTGGAAACGGCTGTCAAGTCATGGGAATTTCTTTATTGCTCATGATCAGAATGAAATCTGCTAGTTGTAAGTTTAATTGGTGGAAGTCGTTTAGGTCCGAGAAACATGAAATAGACTGTAATACAAAGCGAAAAATGGAAGCTAATGCAACACCTATAGCAAAGGAATGTGGCCAAGCAACAACTAGAGAGCACGCACAATAAATAGCTATCATAACACAGGCCAGATTCCATTCCATGTTATCTTATGTTGCTCTTAAATGACCACGCATGAAGTTAATGTATTTTTTCACCAAAACTCCTGTTAGATTGGCTGCTTGACAGACGTCATTGTGATCTGAAATGGCAAAATGATGCACTGGAAATCAGAGAAAAAATCAATGCCGCAATACAAGATATGCCACCTGTTGACGAAATAACAGAACTCTTGTCTGGATCATGTGAGTAAAACGAGCAAAACAAAACAAAAAAAACTCTTCTTTTATTTTACTTAAATAAATTTAATCCATGTGGGTACTGTATAAACGTTTTAGTAAATCTTTTTGCACTTTCCTTGGCTTTGAATCAATTTTTATGGCAAGGTCTCAAATACACCTAGGTATAGATGAGGACTTTTAATCCTAAAGGCTACATCATAATATTATATATCACATTCTTGAGGTGCAACCACATGACTCAAAATCCCCTTAGAAATAAATAACAATGAAACAGCCGCCAAGTTGATTGATCTAACAAGAGAAGCTAATAAGGAATGATTTGTTATCATCAACAACATATGGCAGCTATGATCATGGCATTAAACATATTATAACTGTTACATGTAAGAATATTTCAGTTATGGATGACTAGAACTCATATTGAGTCAAATTGAATTTGGTGTATATCTATAGTTGATGTCCTTCATTTGGTAGTGGAGGATTTTCCGGTACAGTGTACTCAGTAGAAGAGTAAATGGTTTGAACCCAGGTGTTGAAGTTTGTTGTGAAATGTGGTCATCTGGGTGAGTGTAGTCTTGAGAAAGACTGTTGTTGGTGGTGACTGACGTTTCGACAACCTGAGTGGAAGTCATCTTCAGAGTCCAGTAAGAAAAAGAGACACAGTCGATGGTATTTATACCTCTGGTTCGGTCGTAATGTAAATGGTAATTAGTCGGTATTGTTATGTAAAGACCCATGGGTGTTATCACAAGTTGCAGTCTTTTGTTTGAGGTCATGAATGAGTCTGTTGTAAGGTGCGGTAATCGTTGACCTTGGTTAAGTGGTTTTTGTTAAGTTTGTATACCAGCTTTCAAGTGTAAGGCGTTGATGGCAGTTGGTGCTGTATGTAATACATGTACCGTAGCAGAGTCAGTAGGTAGTAGGTGATAACAGCGCTAAAAACATGAAATTCATATGGCAAGGCTGACCCCATGCACCCCAAGAATACTCATTGAACATAAAGACAAGACTTGTATATACTTCTTTAATGCAGACTTTTTACATTTTATTCCAGTCATAAATTATTTCCATTGCTTGAGAATAGTGGAATTACTCAAAGTGTCAGAGTCAGCTACTAAAAATATATTTGGTAGATATTCATCCAAACGTATGAAGGTAAGGCCTGATTCATATGTTGCGCTTTCATGTGCCGAACCTAATATCCTATTTGGGTTGACACAATTACAATAGGATTGACGTTGATTCATACGTCGCGCCTAATGTGTTGAGCCAAATACTCTGAGCATGAGTAAGCGGTAAAATCAGGTTTGTCTTTCCGTTTCTCCTCAAAGCAGACCTGTTAGTACCCTACCGACTTTCCCATTGTCCAACCAGGTGTATCTTCGTCATTCTTGAAGAACGTACATTCACAACAGAAGGGCATAGTGCAAGATAAACAAGAATACTTCGTGCCCTTAAAGCAGGAAGAGCACATATCATCCCCCATCTTGGATCTCCCAAGACCGTATCGCTCGTACTCATTACCAAACACCACTGCTTTTTAGGTCCAGGCTCACCTAATTTTAATGTATGCATTTGATTCGGCACAACAGGAGCTCGACGTCTGAATCAGTGTTGAATTTTACCATGCGGCTCGACTGGCGCGGTCGAGCTCAGTACCGTGTCAAACCTAGTCGTCCAGTCGTGCCGAACTTAATTGATTCATACGTCAAGCCTTTCATGTGCCAAATAGATACTATTAGGTTCGGCACATGAAAAGCGCGACGTATGGATCGGGCCTAAGAAAAAAATTAATTAATTAGTACATGAACCTTAATTAATATGCATGTTCAAATTTGAAGTAATCAAGTATTAGAGACCTTTAGCACTACGTTCTTGCTAAGTACTGCAATTCTCAAGTTCGACGTCAGGCGTTTTCTGTCAAACTTTTGACATTTAGCAAGGCGCCATAATGAAGTTGTTGCTGGAGAAATGCCATATTGAATTTCATTAATGCTGAATGTTTCTCTGTGTTTGCGGGAGTGTTTTTGGGCCTGATCCATAGCACTTAGTGGTTAGCAGTTAGCGGTTACAGTAGCAGTAAACCTGATGCTAAAGGTTTCTAGTACGTCCAGTAATTTCAATAATATAATTTCTCTTTTCTATAAAACATTAGGACTGGCAGGAAATTGTGAGCCTGTATGAAAAGAATAATCTTTATTTAGGTAAGGAATTATGAATAATTATGATAGTTGCATATGATACAAGAATTTTTTAAAATAAAGTTTCTACCAATGTTTCTACCTTCATTCCCCTAACTCCTACATGTAACCCATAATTTTTTGCCCCCCCCCCCCCCCCCCCATTGTTGGCCCTCCTGTTTCCTGTATTCTCTGTAACTCTGTAAATCTGTAAAAAGTGAGTTCCATCCCATCCCACCCTGAATGCCCCTACCCCCCCCCCAAGCAGAATGTTCGTTTTTAATATTCTATGATAATTGTGTTGTCAATCAACAGCTGAGGCAGCTCACCTTTTGATACGAAACGTAAACTTTGAAGTTCCTTCTCTTAAAAGGCAGATAGGAAAATGTCAACAAACACAGAGGGTAGGTTATTATCATCCATCTGCGATGTACATTTTGAACACTGTTATGCTATTAATCTATATATGTTCATTAAGTAAGGAATTGTTATTTATTTATTGGGGTTATGGGTTAGAAAATTAAATAAACAACATCCTGATTTCCAATTAGTATATGTTTATTTTTTGTGAGGCCCACTTTTTATTTCCAACATTTTAAAAGCTTTCCTATTTATGGCTCATCGATTATTAGGAGACCTCCTTTTTCAGGGTCACTAAAATTTCAAGCACCCCCCCTCCCCTTCCATTTTCACCCCCATATGGGCTCCACCCTCTTCAATAAATAATGAACGGTCCTTGAGAGGAAAGCATTGGTAGAAAAATCTTAAACCAAAACATTTACTCTGACAGTTTTGAACTGCAATATTATGTGTGTTCCATCTACTGTACATAGCTGCTGCAGTATCTAAGACAGGTACATTCTACTTTTCCCAGGATGGATCGTGAAGAGAACATTGAGAAAGGAAAAGAAAATCCAAATTGATTTACTGTGAATCGATTCTTGCATATCTGAAAATGATTTGGCACTAGCTAATTTTTCTCTGTGGGTCTGTTTAGGCCAAATAAAAAAGTAAGTGTGTTTCCTGTTGCATGAGAAAAATAATTGGGGTTGGTAGGTCGGGTTTTTTTTACTAAAACAACCGTGGAAATGAGCTTACTGGGAACCCTGTGGTGCATTTGGGAATTTTAAAAAATCAGGGTCTGCAAAAATTGGCAAGAGAATTAGGGTCGGTTGTGCAACAGGAAGCACACTTATTTCTTTGTTTGGCCTTATATTGTTGATACTAATTGTGACAGTGATTGTGATTATATTAAATGTTATAGGATTGTACAAAGAAAGAGAATGAATATTCATCAAATGCATCTGTATTCCTTGATCAGCATAAGAAAACCTGTGAAAAAATGGGAATCAAGGTACAGTAGCACCTTCTCATTACCCTTCCTTTAGTTTGTAGATAGACTGGCATTGACCTGTGATGAAGTGTGATGCTCTGCAAATGCATCCCTCCCAAATGTATCCTATAAACCATTACATTTTTGCATCTCTCATAAAGTAATCATACTTACACTGGGCTTACTCTCCAATATTCACACTCTCACAGATTCAGAATTATTTGATCAGGTGGTCACATGGTCATAATTACATAATGAGCTCTGCAAATTATGCAAGTTTAGCATTTTGTATCTAAATTTAGGGCAAAAATGAAATACAGAGTTGCTCCTGGATTTGTATAAATTTTTAGCCAATTATAATTGGCTGTATGTTCTAAGCCAATCAGAGTTAAGCTGAATTTGGAAAACAGACTATTGAGATAATAGTCCCCTTCACAGCTTTCACTGTGCCATCTTGAATGGTAGCCATGCCTTTTCATTGAAGCGAGATGAATGGTGAGCTTGCAATGATAGAGACGTGAATAATTGTCCAAGGTGTCAAAATAAGGTCTCTATCATTGCAAGCTCACCTTTCATCTTGCTTTGATGCAAAGGCATGGCTACTATTAAAATCTACCAGTTTTTTTCTGTAATCACAGAGTGGGACAATCATGAACGGAACCACAGATTCATGCTAGGTGAAAGCCCAAGATCGAATTGGAATTTTAGAAGTTGATTTTAACGGAGGGAGGAAAACCGGAGAACACGGAGAAAAGCCCTCGAAGCACAGGAGAGAACCAACAAACAACTCTACTCACATACCAAACCGAGCACGGTGGGGCTCGAACTCGGGTCGCATTGGTAAGAGGCGGTGCATTAGCAGCACACGCCACCAGTGCTTCCCCACAGGGAAGCATGAAAGGGACTATTGTTTACTATCTGTATCTTCTAGGGCGATAACATTAAAAGCGAGTTGATGGATCTCCTGAAAGAACTTCCTGAGATATACAGTAAGGTAGCACAAGACACYATCAAGTGTTCAAACATCGTTGAATACTACCAGGCATTTACAAAGTTCGTTTCTCCAAGGTTGGTGTACTTCATCCCTTGCCTTTGAATTTTTTATAAAAATTAACCTTCAAACTTTATCTATACCCTGAAACAACCTTTGATCAAAGTAACTCTACTCACATGTGAAGAGGCTAGGAATTGAACCTGAGACCCCAGGAGTGACAGTCGAGTGTACCACCACAATACCACCTTTGAAACCCATATTTTAGGATATAGAGCAGGGGATATAGAGAAATGAGTTTGTTAATGAGTTTGTTAATTGTTGGTATATTGCTTTACTAATTTATTTCAGCTATGAGTCATCAGACGAAAACCAGAATGCTCAGGTTCTTCCATTGTTAAGATACTTGATTGAACATGGCAATACAACGGTTTATCAATGGAGAACAGGTCAAGTACCAACTGCCATTGAGTCAGATGAAACAGCTGAGGTAGAAGTGGAGAAAAGTTCAGAAGGAGAAGTAAGTAATGATCGTCATGTTAGGTTCCTTTTGTGAGCCAATATTCAGGAAAATAGTGGGGTCAGCTGATTTCGATGGTTGGCAGAGGTGATGGTGGAGTTTGGTGGTGGTGGTGAGGACGTGGTCGCGGTCGTGGTCGTGGTCGTGGTCGTGATAATGGCAGCATTAGAGATGATTGTGACAGTGACACCTATGGTGAAGCTGATGATGATGATGATGAAGATGATAGTGATGGTGACAGTGATGCTGATTATGACAATTTATTATAGTGACAGACAGGGATGTTGATAGTGATGGTAATGAAGGTGATGAGGATAATTACAGAGCAACTACTGTAACCAGGTCCACTTAGACCAGTTAGACAGTGGGAACCAATTAAAATGTAAAATGAAAACAATGCATTCATTCCAACTTTGGGTAGTAGAGCCAATCAGAAACCTAGTCTTCACAAGAATGGTATTAAATTTCACCCTGATGTTACGATAAACAACTAGATAGCCATCATCATTTTCTCATGGCAATAAATAGATATGTTGGAAAGGTATTGTTTTCTGCTGCTTTCTGATTGGTTCCGCTACTCAATGTTGTAATGCATATTTTACTTTCTACAATTTGTTTTGTTCTTGCTGTCTAGGTTGGCCCTACATGTAGTTATAGTAGTCGCACTGTAACATAATAGGGATTTTAAAATTCGCAAAATCTGCGACTGCGTTGTCTACCAGAAGTGTAAATAACTTCACTTTGGAGTTTTGTGCCTTCAAAGTCTGTCTTCTCTGTGGATGAGTTGACTTTACTGACAATGTTTTGGATGAAATCTCCAATGAACTGAACCCCAAAGTGAAGTAATTTACCGTCGCAGATTTTGCAAATCTTAAAGTCCCTAATATCACAATGCGGCGGTGTAGCCTGGGGACAGAGGACTTAAACTCCTCAAAGCTAGGGGGAGAGTTCTCACTTTTTGCTCACGTATAAAGATTAATCTTTTCAACTTACTGTATCGTATTTGTACATATTTCAGATTGATTGGGGTGAGCCATCAGCTGATAGCACTGTAGAAGGGACAGAATCACCTTCGAATGGAATCGACTTTGGAGACACTGGTGATGCCATTGACTGGGGGGGTGGTGGTGATAGTGGTGATGGTACTGAGAATGGTGGGATTGATTGGGGTGATTCTGGTAATGACGACAGTGCTGGTATAGATTGGGGTGACAGTGGGATAACTGTTGACGAATCCGCCGTGACTGAAATAACAGTAGAGGATTCTGGTGAAGGTACGTAATGGATCAAGGGTGGCGTATCGGCCTCCATTTCTGGACTTCACATATTTGTGGAGGTTTTCGAGTCTTTCCCTTGATTTGTGTGTTGTTGTTTTTATCTAGGATCTTTGGTAGCCCCCACCCCACTCCCCCACCCCCACCTAACCCGAATGTCCTGATTCTAATCATTGGCTGTTTGATATAATTTGAGGGTTTTTTTTTTTTTACTCCTTAAATCCCAACACGCTAAATCCCAATTCCAACTGTGTATTAGCCGTGCCCTGACTTCATCAGCCCAGGGGAAGCTTCAAGGTCTTATAAACTGAAAGACAGATGTCGTTTTTACTGTTGTTGCAGGTGGCATAGCTAAAGGAAAGGATGCATTAACCATCTTGGATAATACTGAAACACGAAACATGTTTCTGGATGAAATGATGGAAGTAAGAAAAGAGAACCGTTGCGTAAATTATCAAAGAAATTGAAACGAAATTAGTAGAAAAATATATAAATAAAAGTCAAAACAGGACTGAAAACACGCAATGTACATGCATCAGGATCTTAATGAAAATTTCACAAAAAAGGTTTGAAAAATAGTCAGAAACCCTAATCCCCAATGCAAAGGTCAATGTCAGGATTACCTCCCCGCTTGGCATACACGTTAGTTTTAAAAAGGGTCTTTGACGAACATGTTGTTAAGACTCAGTACATTCAAGTCATGGTGTCGTTGTTTTGCTATTTCAGCTTCAAGCATTTCTCAGTCAAAGACAAGCAGAGTGGAAAAGTGGTTCAGACGTAGTAGCTGTGAACGAGGTATGTATAACGTCATCTTGGCACTGAGCGATCTTTTCTTTTTCTCACTTTCATGTTTTCTTTCTTCTGTTTATCGTTGCGCCGTCATTTGTCGCCATATCTTTTCTTCTTCGTCTCCTCTAGTCCAAGTACTGTAAAATCCCACTTGTAAGCTCTGAGGTAATACAAATTTGTAAGGGACTTTTGATCGCTCTTTGATGAACACCATAAACTTGAGATTCCAGAGATGGGCTTATGACCGGGAAAGGGGGGGGACAGACAAGTACACTATTAGACTATTGATTTACACGGTAACAATAAATTGCCTTTGCCTTGCCTAAACCGGGTCTTACTAACTTATATTGATTTTTTTTTTTTTTTTTTTTTTTTTTTCACGCCGGGTCAACGAGGTTCAGTTATAAGAAGATACTCACTCTTATTCTTTTCTTTTGAATTATTCTTTTCTATGGTTTTTCTTCAAACCAAACTAAGTTCAGAACTTTTGCGGAATGTTCAGAAGTTCATGGCGGACTTTGTTTTGCAGTTCCGAAGTTGATAGCGATTCGGAGCCCCGATTGTGTAAGGTATCGTGAAACCGATCCTAATTTTCACATCTTGCTATTTTTTTCTTCTCGTAGTTTCAGGCAGCACCTCGCATCATTCAGATCCAGTCACGAGAAACTATCGAAAAGATGGCTGCTACAATCACTGATGTCCTCTCTCGCCTCACTACCATGAGAGTTCAAAATCTCTGTCTTCTTAAAAGCTCCCCAAGGTTGGTCTCTGACACCTTTTTTTCATTTTCGCCACTTCTCTTAACATTTTTCGTATTTTTGCAACCAAAACCCGGGCACATTATTATGCCGTTTTGGCGTCCCTTCGCCATATTACAATATTTTGAGTGAAGGAATTTTTTGAATAAGGGCGAGTTAAACACAATGATTATTGGGTTTGCCCTTTGGGTACCCGGAAGTACCCTCCCAACCCCCCATGGGTTCCTTGAAATTCTCGATACTGGATTTGAAAGTGACTCTGTCCTTGTAGAAATACTTGCATAGAATATTTAAGTTTTTAAATCGATTCCCTTTTTTTGACGTCATCCTTACGAAAGCCAAAACCCCCATTGCTATAAAAAAAATCCCTGTAAAATAGAACGATTTGCTTATGTATATTTTAACATTTTTGAAATTTATTTTTCGACTTTTAGATATGTGGACAGACTGGCTGAATCACTTCAACAAAAACTAAGACTTTCAGAAAAACTCAAAACCTCTTGCAAAAGAATGGTCGAGAAGAGAAACGAAGCGGCCGAGCAGCAAAGAGAGCTGGAACCTAAACTAGAAGTCATCCGGTGTAAAACCAAAGAATTGAAAACTCAGGTACGATTAAAACGTTAGTTGTTAGTTGTTCTGTAACCGTACCGTACCGATCTTACCTTAACTACGCGTTGTGTTTGGAAAGCCATTTGAAAGCTACGCCGTGTTGTACCGTGTTGTACTGTCTTTGTACTGTAAGTCACAGGAGCGTAGGCAGGATTTTCTGAAGGAAGGGGGGGGGGGGGGGGGGGGGGGGGGGGGGGGGGGGGGGGGGGGGACGTAAATTCATAAAAACCGCCATTTTGGTTTGAGCCCCCGCAACTCCGAATCAAATAATGATAAATAACGGCATTACGTTTCACGTTTTATTTTCACAAACAAACTTAAAGTTGTAAATTATCGTATACATTCTGGCACCCCCTGCCTACGCCCTTCAATCAGTACTGCTATAGGTTTATCCCTAGTGATAGGATGAGGGGAAAGGGCTGAGAAATGTCTGGCAGTCTTTATAAATATCTGTGGAATAGGTGAAACCAAATGCATTTTTTTCTGTTTCTTGTTTAAGGTATTAGTTAACAATCTTTGTTGTTTTTTTTTTCAAAATTCCTCCAACAGATAGCAGGCGAGATCTCCAAGAAATACAAAAACCGACCTGTGAATATAATGGGTGAAATTAACAATATCTAAAACTGTCGTCATAGTAACTATAAATAAAATAATCTATATAAAAGACGCATGTATCAGTGGATTTGATTCTGTGCCTTCCGATTGGTCAGTCGGTCGTGGGTGCATCCATTATTTACATGTTCTTTTTTCAATTAAATGTCATGGGTGAGGTTCAGAAAGACACAAAAATAAGGCAACCAAATTGAGATTGTGTAGGAGTCTATTTTTTGAGGGAAGACCGACATTGATGGACAAGCAGAACAAATAGAACAATTTGACTAGAGTGCAAACAATTAATCCTTGAAACACTGATTACTAAATAGTACAAAATAGTGCTAATTAAACAATAGAAAATAATGGAATTTGTATGAAATTATGCTATTTAGTATACTAAAGTTTCACGTATTTACTGTGGTCACTCTAGTCATGTGAACTGGTAGCCTGCGTAGCGGCCCTCTGGTAGGGAATTTTGGGCGAGAGGAGAAGGGAGAGGGAGAAGGGACTGGGGAGGGGAAAAGGGAAGGGGAGGGGCACAGTCCCCTCTCCTCTTCCCTTTTCCCCTCCCCAGTCCCCTCTCCCTCTTCCTTCTCCTCTCGCCCAAAATTCCCTACCAGAGGGCCGCTACGCAGGCTAGTGAACTGGATAAACAATACACCCGAAACCAGGAAAAATTTTGTACCCTAGACGAATGGCAATGTATATACCCCACACTGCTTTACCGGTAAAGGTCTCAACTGGCTTGTTTGGAATTATTGTATAAACAGGTAAGAATGCATGCATGTTTTTCCCCCATCATTGTGCACATCAACCAGTGCAGAGGCAAGCTCCAAAACCTCGTTTCTTACCATACAAATTGATGGTTTTCACAGCCGCCATGTTGGATGAATTTAACAACAAATTCGTCATTAGTTTCTTTTGTTATATCATCCAACATGGCCGCCGTGTCTTTTGTTATTTCATTCTCATGGGAATGATTGAAAACAAGCGATATTGACCTTTTATATCTAATAGGGTGCTCACACTAAATCCGTGAAACAAATACTAATTTTTAGCACTAAATAGTGATAATTAAACAATAGAAAACAAAGGATTCTGTATGAAATAGTACTAATTAGTACTATTTAATGTTCACGGTTTTAGTGCGTGCACTCTATCTTACACCGGACAAAAAAGTTTAAGAACTTCTTTGTCGCAAAGGAAAGATAGCTGCTCACTTTTGATCATTTTCAATATTTTAATGTATTAGCTGTAACTGTAATAACAAGGCTAAATTACATTGTGGACACAATGTCTCGTTTAGATATTTGTTACATAAAAAAACACCACAGCTCTCGCTTACAGGTTCGACTTATGGTATGATAATGTACATTATATATATTAACCGCAAAAACCTTAAATAAGAGGCAAGGTAGGTCCAGGATCCAATAGATGCAGACATCAATATGTCATGCAATCATTGGGCCAACCACGGTTTAGCTTCTATTTATGAAAGTGTAACCAAGCTACCAAGTCAACTTGCCACAGGTAGCCCATCTCTAATACCATTCATTACATATCTGATGACCCACGACCCTAGGTGCCAGAGGTTCCTTGAAGCACAAGGTGTTTTCCCTACGTGCCACCTCCGGCTTCCTGCGTCCATACTGGATTGGACAGAGAAATATGGCAGCGAGGATTTGTTTAGAGGCGGGACAAGCCTTTTGCTTAGCAAAAGAGTTAGCCGTCTTAGCATCCGTACCACTTTTTGTTTAAACGGCCTCTTAGTAGACCCCAGAGGTAGTCTTGGACTTGGTTACGTCTTACGTATAAGATAACTGGACAGATTCATATTATCTGATTGTCACATGGACTGGTATACACGATAGTTGGTATAGATATAAGTTAGTATGAAGAAGAATCGCCGGCGTAATTCAATTTATGCTGCTCTTTTGTATATCTATTGCGACTTGTTCTAAAGATTGTAAAGGCAAGATTACACGGAGCAATTGCGACACAAGTTGCATGGAGCATTGCAGAGTGTAACCTACAGCGCAATTTGAAAATATGTTGCGAGACAAACTGCAGCATTCGTTGCGAAAAGTAGAATTCTACTCTTGGCAACGATTGCTTCTTCATTGCACCATACAAACCTCTTCTACAACCTATGCAGAGTAAATTTCTCCTTTTATAGCGCCTTAAAGCTGGTATTGCGATATCAGCTGTGCCGTATATATTACATTACACCAGAGACTCTTCTCCTCTCGCGACAGTTCTAGCAATTAACAAAAACCAAACGCCTAATAGTTTCACCAAGCACTGCTTGTATTTGTCTTCCTACATTGTCATAAAATGTCTCTGTTGCTATGGCAACGAATAAAAAATTCTGCTGCTAAGGTAACGAGGAATAAACTATTCTGCGGACGCCCAGTTGGATTGTCCTCCGTAGGGGTCACCCATTGCACGCTGCGCCATTTGAGTAAGAGCGGTAGTGGCTACGTCTTCTGGCGTCACTTCGTTACGAGTAACTGTTAGTGCCAGTCCGTTAGGGGTCTCTGTTACCTGTACATGACCCCCATTAGTTCTGGGCTGAACATTACCTAAAATTTAGAAGAAACACAAGACACCTATTGAATAAAAACATATCCATCTCAAGAATTGTCGCAAAGTTCGTTGGGTAGCATTGGGTAGCGTTCGTCTTTCACCGCTACGAGTCCAACGGGTCGGCTCGCTGGTTCGAGCCCCGCGTTCGTCACATGTGAATTGAGTTTGTTTAATGTGTTGTTCTCTCCTATGCTACGAGGGTTTTCTCCGCGTTCTCCGGGTTCCTCCCTCGTAAAAAATAAACGTGATTTGAACGTTGTGTGCATAGAATATCGAATGTAGTGGTAGTGCGTATGAGCGTAAAGTGTCCCCAATTAGTGCGGAAGCGCTATAGAACGACTAGACCCTTAAATAAAAGCGATTTATTTTATTTTCGTGCGCATGAAAATACTTTAGGCACCGATAGAAAAACTTCAATTTTCATCGAACCTGGGAATAATCAATGGATAGCTAGTCAGGACACGGAGCAAATTTAATGGCTCTTTTTAATTTTGGGAGGGTAAAAAATAGAGAACCCGGAGAAAAATTCTTGAACCAAGAGAAATCTAACCAAATCAAATACCAAAAATAAAATAAAATTTCCAGATATTGCACTACAATACTGTTGATTTAGAACTCTATTCTTACCTTGCCCTATTGGATTCTGAACCGACATGTTCTGCTGGGCGAGAGTAACAGGACAATCTTTATGAGCCAGTAAAAGCGACTTTAGTTGCGCTACTTCGGATTTGAGTAACGAGATTTCATTCTGCAAGCAAAGCAAGCGTTGTTAGCTTCAAAGATACTAGATTTCAGGTTACTAGAGAATGTGTTCGATCCTCTCTCCATCAGAGGAGATGGGGTGGAATACTCCCTGCTCTGAGAGTAAAACGTTTTATAAATCATCCCAAAACTCAACCCAAAATACCGAAGACGCTGTCTGTGTTTTTTTCCACGTGATATACTGCCCGTCTTTAGCAATTCAGTATTAAAAAGCTCGTGTGAGCYTTAATCCGAGAGCTTTACCTAACGGACGGACCCTGGTTTGAATTTCATTCGATGCAAGTTGTCTGTCATTGTCATTTTAGGGTTTTTTCCCCGGACTTATTACCAGGCAGTGTAGCGGCGCAGAGGGGAGACTGGAGAGGATCACCTAAACAAACCTATTGAGAATCCTAAAATGTGATTGGCTGAGGCATCCCCTTCTCTCCCCCTCTCCTTGAGCCACTCTGCAGCTACTAATTACTACGTCTCATTAGCTGACTGATGAAGCGTTCCTCATAACAGACCATAATGCAACGTATTTTTTACGACTCCGGAAAGGCGTCATAACTAGATTCTGTACCTGTAGCTGGGTATTTGTGTCAGACAGATCGTCAGCTTTCTTTTCGAGCTGTTGAACCCAAATCTTTCTTTTCTCTCGGCATCTCGTAGCAGCAGCTCTAAAGAGAGACACAGCCAGATAGTAAGTATGTACGAACAGCATATTATATCATATCACGAAGCCCAAAAATATACGACTAGTGTTTTTGTATCATACGCAGACGTTCTCAGGGTCGTCGCGAAGTGAGGAGAAAAATGTTGCGTCTGGGTACGTAGGGGGTAGTGTTTTGGCTTCCTACATCGGTCTGAGAAGTAATGGTTTTGATTGACAGAGCCCAAAATTATTTAAGTGGACTGCTTTTGTTTGTTTGATTATACCAGAAAGTGATGGTACAATGGCTTTCTCACTATGACGCAAAGATAAAATACAATAATTTTGTATTTTATTGTTAAACTGAAGGTAGATTGTACAACATATCCTCATCATTCCTCTTACCTATTTCGTTCTAAAAATTTCCGCCGTCTTTCATCGGGATCTAGTTCTTCTTGTGTTCGTCTAGGACGTTTTCTGGAATAGTAAAATATTACATTAGTATAGGTAACTGGAGGATATGTTATTCCCCAACCAAGTAGTCTAAAGCCCCGTTTACACTAGCCATTTTTGCGGCGATTTTTGCTGCGATTTGTGCTATTTTGTCCATAATAAATAATGGTAAAGAATTTACTTGTAAAGTTTTTTTCAGGATACCAAGATTTTCCTTTCTAAGGATGAGACAAAAGATTTCATATTTCCTAAAAATTGCCACAAAAATCGCAGCAAAAATCGCCGCCAAAATCGCCAGTGTAAACGGGGCTTAAGTAGGGAATGACCACTGTCTAGCTTTCGACCAGTCTAGAAGTCTTAACAAAATGATGTAGTCGTATCCTAACTAACAGTAGGATACACTTGAAAGTGTTTTAAAAAACCAATAATAGAAAAAACAACTTGTATTTTGATTAATGTATTTTGCACTAAAGACTTGTCATGAGTTTTTACAATCCTGAATGGTTTAAACAGAAACGTTTTCACTGAAATATTAATGCTGCAATTTTTGTCTTCGAATATCTTAAACCTATTATATACTAAAAAATCTTCATATCGAGACTAACATTTGACCATTCCCATAAAATAAAATGTCAATTGAACAAATAAAAAAAAGTTCACAAAAGACAGTTCATTATAGGAGAGGCAGAATAGTTGGTCACATCAAATTACCTGGAACACCATACGTCTACATTAGCTCCACAAACTCTTAATTCCTGGTAAATTTGAACCATTTTACCAATGCTTTCATTGATGTGCACTGATTGACGCAACAATGGTGATAGGTAAATCGGGCAATAGACTACCGTTAAATACATTGTTCAGCACCTTACAATTGACAGCAGTGTATTGCCTGATTTCCCTGTCTCAACTGTTTAGCGAGGCTGCTTAATGCGCAAACATCGTCACAATCTGGAAGAAATGACCACGATTGCTGCAGAGTTCCCTTACATTAGTTGAAACAAATTCAGAAGGGGTATTAGTGAATTCCATATCAGGGGGTAAATTTATCTTGCATGGGGAGGGGTGGGTGATACATGCATATGTCTTCCAAAGCATTCTTTGTTAATACCATTCAGAAATACAACTGAAAATACCCCTCTCTCCGGCAGCAGATTTCATGGCTTCTAAATCTGGTCTACAGGGCCTAAGTTAACTCTGAGCCAAATTTCATGCTTTCTTCCAGTCTGTAACGATATTGCCAAAAGTTGACCTTTACCTACCTCACTTGATCAGCACATAGCAATAAAAACAGTGGTAATAAGAAAATTCTGTTTTCTTACTTGTCTTTTTGGCCATATGCCATTTCTTCATTATCATTATCATTTTCATCCCAATGATCTCCGTTTCTGGAAATAATATTAAGATTATTGTGGAGTGAGTCTTGTGGAAGTGCCCCATATGGGTAATGATGCTTGTAAAATATATAATATAAAATTAATATAATATAAATACTTCCAAAAATTTTAAATCCTATTTTCCTTATTTCTATCAAATTAATTAATCGATAATTTCAAATACCAAAGTATTATATATGTGTATGAGAATATATGAAATATATATTTGTACTGCAGTTGTAATGTATCAAATTGAGCTGATCCTCGCAGTATATGAAGCAACTTATGCAGCTGCGAATTGAAAGAAAAAAAGTAATCATGATCTTTCTCCATATTATTAGAAAAGATCATAATCATAATAGGGGAGGGGAATGCAGGTTCTTAAGATCTTAAGTCAATCAAAGGGTTTCATTAACTAATAGTCCCCTTCACAGTTCTCTGCACCATCTTGAAAGGTAGCTGTACCTTTACATCGAAGTGAGACTGAGGGTGAGCTTGTAATGATAGATACCCTTTTTAACACCTTGGACAATTATTCACGAAAAGAAAGCTACCTATCAATATGGCGCTGGGAACTGTGAAGGGGAAGTACTAGGTGTTGATGATATAGACCTCCTAACTTTACCAAGGTTTTTTGAGAATCTTGAAAATATCCTTTGTACACTTGATTTGGAAAGCAAAGAGCTTTTTATATATTTAGTTTTTGGGGGCTTTCCTTTGAAAATGCCAGTACAGTGCCAGTAATAAAATCTAACTACAAAGTATTGGAAGAGCATTACACAATACCACAATGCGCATCCAAATAGTTTGGCTGCACAAGCATCCTATACAGGATGCATAAGCCCCACTGCACTGCACTGCTACTTACATGATGAATGTCAGAACAGAAAGAAAAACACACATTTACATTTGAAATTTGAAAAGCAAAGGTTGTGATACATGAATTTGTGCAGTAAAAACAAAGCCTAAGTATGCAGTATATTTACAATACAATCAAATGAATGAATTTCTTTCTAGTTAATAATCAATCAACTTACGAAAAATGATGCTGTTGCTGGTGGTGATGAATTTGTGAATGAGCCACATGATTTGAAAGACCATTGCGATTTTCTGAGGTCACCATGTCTACAGCTTCAGTCATGGCTTGACTTATGATATTATCTGCATTGTTGATAGCATTGTTGTTGTGGTTCTGACGCAGCTGTTCTTTCAGACGCTGGAAAATGAAATGTACTGATCAACATATGAAATGCCTTTTAAAAAATCACTCCTTCAAACAGTTTCTATAAATTTTCTTATTATCATAATCTTTAGGTTTACATTTAAACTTTTTTATTGCATAATTATTGCCAGGTAGATGTTTGAGGGGGGGGGGGGGGGGGGGGGGGGGGGGGGGGAGTTATAACTGGAAGGAAATGGTTATATCCTGCAAGTCAACATCTTATGTTGTCGAATGTGAGTTGTGAGATACCAGCTTCTAAATGAGCTTATCACCAGGGGAGGGGGTAAAGTCATATCTGGAAGGATATTTCCTCAGCAAAACAAGGGCTAATATCCAGGATTTTATAATATGATAGCTACTTCTTCCCTAAAGCACTCCTTTCTTTCTCATAACTAACCACTAACCAGCAATGAGCTGTCTTTTTTTCATAGACAAGAGTATCTAGTATGACTGGAAATGATGTATAATAGCTACCTGTTTAGCACTTCCAATAAAGGAAGGTGGATTACTAGCACTAGGACTGCTAACTATTGCAGGTGTTGGAATAGAAACCGGCATTGATGTTTGACCAGTTGTCCTTGATAAGTGACCAGGTACAGGAAGAGCTGCTGGTACTGGTATATTTGCATTAGCTATTGCAGCAGGGATTACTGTTGGTATTTGATGACGTGGGGTGGTCCGTACCAAGACAGACACTGCGGCTGATGTATTAGATGTCTTGGGTGTAATGGGTGGAGGATCTCTTAATGTAGTAAGTGGTTGGGTTGCTGCGGGAACAACGACCGTCTCAGCAACTATGGGTATCTCTGGTATTGCTATTTCTGTTTTGGATGCTGAAATTGGTGCATTAATGATGATGACGCTATTCTCATTTATGGTGCTGTTTGTTGTCGTGGCAACAGACTGAGGTGGATGTTCCTAGAAAATATAAATTAAAGAATTATTAAAGACTTTGATGTCTGAAAACCAAGTGCAAAGTACAAAATGCAAGACAGACACATAGTAATGAAATCAGTGGTAAAATTTTGAAAAAGTTATTGCCTCATTACTTAGATATGTTAAATAATTCAGTGAAAAAAGTTGGGATCTTTTTAAAAAAAAATTAAATTACCATTATCTAAATAATAATTGAGAAAGTGTATTAAAAGTCAAGTGAAATACTTCTCCACCCTTAAGGACTTCTCGCTAATACAATGCAGCCTTACTACTGAACATGCAACTAGAAACTTCCTCTGGAAAAAATTGTCAAGCATATTTATTCTTTTTYTTTTCTTCTTAAACTTGATTAACAAGTAGAAACTTTTTGGGGTTTATTTTCTATATATGCTTGAATGTTAGGCTTGATACTAGGAAGAAAAGTTTTGACTTCCTTAAAATAAAAAATTCCCTGGAGATAGTGTCGAGGCCATGGCTTATTTATAGATGTTTTGAAGCATCACATCCCAATGCCCATAACACAGCTTGGGCTGCCTGTGGTTAGATGCATGGCAGAACAATAAAAATACCTTTGCTCTTGGGAATTGAATTTGAATGGGATGGTGCAAAAGCTCTATTGATATTTTCCAAAAAATAAGATTAAGTGATTAATTGGCTCAAATTCCTAAGATATTATATTTTGCAGATTTTATACAAACCTCAGAATTCGAAGGTGCTGCTTTTTTAAACTCCTGAAATAGAAAAATGGCAAATTATACATTGTACCTTAGTTAATGCATAACAGAGGTTAATACTCTACTTGGTAATTACATATCATAATTTTAAAGAATGCAACAACTTAATGTAACAAATTTTTTTACATAATGAATTCTTTTGAATTTTTTTCTCTAAATATTCAAGAAAATAATTAAACTATTCAATGACGGGAGGAGTTAAATGTTACAAGTTTTATTTATATGATTTCAATTTTTAAACTTGTTATAATTTTAATCTATAACTCCTCATCGCTAATCACCACTGCAAGTACAGAAGAGGCACATCTCAACGGGGTTGAACTGAAAGCGTGTGAAGGCACCTCCGCCAGCTACTATACAGTCCATGTATGACCCCCGAGCACAGCTCTAACCAGTTTGAATTAGTTAGGGTTGCTTTGAGAGGAGGGAGGAAAAGCCCTCAGAGTCAGAAGGAGAACCAAACTCAGCTCACATGGAATTCGAACCCTGACTGGGATTCAAACCCTGCACAAACCGTCAGAGGTGAGAGGCGAGCGTTTCAAACTTATTATAATTTTTTTTAAATAATTCATATAATTTGCAAACTTATACACCCTACCTGATCAAATGGATTTTCAAGATCTTGAAATAAACCTTCTTTTTCTAAATTTTCTAAGAAACGAGTTGGGGTAGGAGTTTGATCTGAAAATTAGAAATGAAAAGAGGTTGTATTACAATAACATATACAACTCAAAATATAGCATCATTCAATAAAGGTTTTGCACCATCACATGCCCATGCCCATAATACAGCTTAGGCTGCCTGTGGTTCGATGGCAGAACAATAAGGTCCCTTTGCTCTGTGGAATTGAATTCTTTATTATGTAAAACGATTGTATTGTTCCTGCCATCTAACAGTTCCATATGAATGAAACCAACACTGAAGCTGAGGCTAATACACTACTTGAAAGATTTTTATCGACTAGACATACAGCTTTAAAGCCCTAAAATACCATGAGGGAAAGAAGATAAAGGATTCCCTCAATAGTCCCCTTTCACAGTTTCCTGCGCCATCTTGAAAGGTGAGCTTGTAATGATAGAGAATAATTGTCCAAGGTGTTAAAAAAGGTTTCAATCATTCCAAGCTCACCATTCATCTTGCTTCAATGCCAAGGCAATGCTACCTTTCAAGATGGCGCCGAGAACTGTAAAAGGGACTATTTACCACTAAATTAACCATTTCCTTATTAAGAAAATAAAGTCAATCATGGAAATGTTACTTGATTAAAACATTATTTTGAGAAATTGTATGTAACATAAAACTAAAAGTTGTAAAAACGTTTTGTAGCATAGGTAAAAGAATTTGAGTCTTCTCTTGGTATTCAAATTTATGATATATATCTTATACTCATTAATTATTCATAAGCTCATCGACCAACCAGGGTTTCTTATTTGTACCACGTGCAGTAGTATGAAACCCCCATCAAATACGCCCGCACCCATTTCAAAGTTCTAGTACTTTGAAATATTTCAAAGTCCTACTACTCGGACTTTGAAATATTTCAAAGTACTAGAACTTTGAAATAAAAACAAACATAACAAAAAGAGTATAAGATGTTGTGTCAAATACCAGTCACTGTATTCTATTGGGGATGCCGAGGCATTTGAAATTCCACGAGGATTTTGAAACCCCAATAGAATACAGCAACTGGTATTATTATTTGAAACATTACATCTGAAACTTTAAAATTCTTATTTATCTATTTTTTCTTACATTATATAAAGGGGGAGGGAAATGCAATATATTTGTTATAATTGAATGAGTTCTAAAATTCAATGAAAATATAAGACTTATGACAATTTAATAAGGAACAAAAAATTGAATATAAAATCAATCTAAATTTTTTTTAATGGTTCACCAGATTCAAGTGAAATTTTTTCAAAGGATTTTTTTTCCTCAATTTCCCGGTAATGAATAAAAACACATTATATTGGGATCACGCTACATGATTCATTGTGTTTGCAATTTATCAGCAACACGTTTGATACGTTCGATTTTAATATTTTTCTTAATATAAAAATACTAACATTCAGGCTTTATATTCAAAAAAACTTTTAAACCCAATATAAGTTTACGAAAGCTTTTAAAAAGATCCTAAAATATTTCCTTTTGACATACGGGGATAAAGTATAATAGAGATTGTGATGATTGCTCAATAGTTATTGGCAACCTTAAAATTTCAATACTACGATGACTGAAGCCACTGTTTCATCAACAGAAGTCCGACAAATGCATATTTTTTGGCGTTTTTCGTTGTCTTCTTACCTGCTAGTTGGAGAAAATCGGTACTTTTTAAGTTCCCTGGTAACTTGAGCGATAGTTGGTGTTTTTGTTTATGACTTTCAAGGTGATCGTTATTGGCGAATCTCTACAAGTAGAAGTAGTACAAATCAAATAAGGGGAAAATTTTGAGATAGATAGAGGCTTACGTAAGGCATTCGACTCAGAGAGTGACGACATCGAGATGAAATCATTATCCACCATTGAATAATACCCCAGGAACGAGCATAAACAGGCAGTTAGAAGCCGCCGATCTCTTACCTGACCACAATTTGGAGCTGAACAAACGAATGGCTTGTCGTCCGACTCCATATTGGATCGAACTACCCTCAAGTCCTCTTCAAAACAACGCCAATAAACTTGTTCACAGTAATAAAATCTTCGCTTTTACGATTTATAATTCAAATTAAGACGTTCTAAAACCTATAAAGGCCAGTTTCTTGCAAGAAAAATTCCAAAAATATTGCCAAAAATATATAAATAGAAGCTTTTTGCTTTGGGCGCCTTTTCACGCACGCATATTTTTGTCACATGACGTAATGGCGAAGGGCTTCGCGGCGTGACGTCACGATACGAGCCTCGCTTTCGCTTCTTTATGATTTTGCTTTTGGGGTCGAATTAATAAACGCGTTTAATAAATCTGACATGTTCGAAGCTGATTGGCCTGCTTACGGGTAGAATGATGTCATTCATGAAAATAAACAGCGTCTTTCAAGGGGAAACCCCCAAAGCCATGTTTTCGCTTTCGGACAAATTTTAAACTCGTGTTATCGAATTGTTAAATGAAAGTGAGAGCGATACGCCGCGGGTGAACACGTTATTGATTGAAAACTAAAAAATACAAAAGCGAATTTATGTTTTAACAGGATAGAGCCAATATTGAAGCGGAATTCTTAGCCTGATTGATTTTCCGGTCACAGGAATAGGAATTTGTCCGATGGAAGGACGAAGGACACAATAAAGTAGGAAATAAACTCAATATCATTTGTTTATAAATGTAAAAGGCTTTTTTTTTAAACAAGAAACAACAAAGGCTGCAATGAAAATACTGGGAGTCTCTATATGGAGAATTAAATTATCAAAAGTGTGCATCGCAAGAAAACGAATTYGAAAATAAGGAAGAAATTCCTAGACTTCCTGTGTTCAGTCACTATGTTAGAGCAGGCCGGACCATATGGTGTCTTGGTTTACGCCGGCATGCATGACACAGAACCTGCGTTTCGCTCTAAATGCGTCAGTGAAACTGACAACGTTTTCAACAAATAAAAGCTGTTCTATTATTTTCTGGGTACAGTAGATGATCATAGAGCACCATCTAAGTTTTTAGAGTCTAGGAATGGGACCACTCTCGACTTGCTACCTAGAACAGACGTACGTCTTTTATTGCAACTCATATTTTAGAGGCCAAAACTCATATTTTAGAGGCCACTGATTAAACAAAATAAAAACTGAATCTGCTTTTCAGTTTACATACTTTATTCGATAACATTTTATAGTTACTGAGTATTAGATCATGAGAAACCTTAAAGCATTTTTGTCTGTTTGGAAGCTGCTGTAATTTGGACTTATCCACCAAGTGGCATCGCTCTCTTGCTGGCACCAAATCTGTTCTGATCAAGAGATGCTAGTGATCTCTTCCCACCAAATCTGTTCTGATCAAGA